CTGATGTAATGGTCATCAGTGGAGCACACATTTGAGGAAGGGACAGGTACCAGAGACCTGAGACCAGAGATCCCACCACTGGAAGCAGCAAAATGTTTATAATTCAGGTTGAGAATGTGCCTTTGGATCATATTCACCACCTGATTTTACATCAAGAGCTGTGGGAGCACTTCTTGAGTCAGTCACAGAAGAGCCAGGAATGCTCTTGTCCTGTCCTGGTGGCTTGGAGGCACCAAAGCAAGGTCATACATCAAGAGGGAGCTGTGACGAGTGCCCTGGTCTGGGTTAGATAAGGATCACACCCTGACATGCACCCCCAGGACAGTATATGCTTCACTGGATCTTTTTTTGAATGTAGGAATAAATGAAGAAAGTGTCACTCCTTGGTGATCCAACTCTTTAAGCAACAGGCCTCATCCTTGGAGGAATTAAGTCTGCCCTGTGACTGTTCGTTGTCCTTTATCTTTTAATAATTAAATAAATATCCACTTAAAACACTTATATCTAGCAGTGCAGATGGTTGCAGAAAAAGTTTTGTCTGGACAGAAGAACACTGTACTTTTCCCACCACTTCTGACAAATCTATTCCTACAACTTAATTCACTCTTGAATCTGCAAGCATGTAACTCTAAAATAAAGATTTTGCTTTGCAGGAGAACAGAAAGCATCTAATCATGAAAACTCATTATCTGGAACATGAGGAATTCTTATTGTAGATTGAGAGATAATTAAAAATGGTAAACAGAGTATTTTTAGGAGGCTTTGTTCATGACAGAAACAGCACTGAGGGACAAATAGTTCAGCAATGAAAAAAAGGGAGAAGTATTATATATGTTCATACACTTAATAAACTCTCTCCACTTGCTTGACTCTGGCTTGCCTTTTTTTAGATTCCATTTTTAGCTCTTAAGAAATAAGCAATTTCAAAGAATGGGATACATTAGGAAATATTTATAAGATCTATGCTACTCTTTCATAAAGCCTTTTTTAAAAATGCTTTAAACCATGCATTTCACTTGTGCTTGACCATAAAAAGGCAATCAAAGTATTCTTCTGTTTACCATAGAGCAGTGCCGAGCTTCCTGATCAAGTTCCCTTCATGCATCAGTGTTAAAAAGAAGAGTAAAGAATTACCATTGAACTCTTACCAAAGCAGGAGTTGACAAAGCCATACCACCTACAAGCRTGGTCCCCTCCAATCCATTTGCCAYGGATGTTGGATGCAAAACTGAGGGTAGTGCCTGAGATGCACACTAACATGTCGCTGATGCTGATGTTCAGCAGAAGCATGTTGACTGGGTTACGAAGGGTTTTAAACTTGCAGAAGAGGATAAGGACAACCAAGTTATTCAAGAAACCAAAAAACAAGATTAATCCAAGRAAAACAGCCACTACTGTGTGCCCGCTTCGTGAGAGTCCAGCCTTTGGCTCAACAGGATCTGCAGGTGCACCAAAGCTCAGGTTATATGTCCAAGTGTGGTTCATTTCGGTTTTGTAATGCATCAGTGAGGGCAGAGACACTGCATGCCCTTTGCTAAAATACTCCAGCAGTTTTCCAGAAGAGTCATTCCATCACAGATCTAATCATCTCAGGAGCCTTGAGATGTTTGCTCAGATGAGATGTCTCTTAGATGGTTATGCAGGTGTGAAACACTGTATTGCAGCACAGGAGTGTTTTCCTGCACTGTGTCTTTCCAGGGCTCTGCTCTGCTGCAGCTCCAGGGCAGCAGAACCAAGAGAACAATCACCTCAAATTCATTCTTCTTGTTTAGACCTAGGATAATGTTAGATGATCTTTTTTGATGCTCAGAATTGAAAGTATCTTATAAAGATGCTTCAGCATGGTCTCCTCCTTCAGAGCAGATGGACAGCCCCTACAGATGGCAGCTTCCCTCCTTTCCTCTGACAATGGGTGTCTTTCTGAAAATACAGAAAAAACAAATGCTAAAACCCAAACAACTCTTTCCACACAAAGAACAAAAAATAGGTACATAATTTGCTAACAGTTCCTCCCGTTTTGAACTGTAGAAAATATCTCTCATCCTTTTCAGTTTCCACCCTGATTTTTAACAGAAACATCAATTTGTTTACATTTCCTTGAATGCTTCAAGCAATTTTTCACTAGCTCACTATTTAGCATGGAGAAGGTTATTTGCACCTTCCTAGCAAAGATACTCAGGTGAGAAAATACATCATGAAACATATCTTTTGCATCAGCTTCCCAGAGGAAGAACTCTGTCTTCCTCCACATTAAGTCAATCCACACCAAGTGAAGTTTCACCCTTAGCTAGACCTTAATTAAAATGATGAAAAATTTCTTTACCCAGAAAGAATAATGTCAAATGAAGTCCCTCAAGCTCTCATGTGCTTAAAAAGKTTTGCAGRTCTGTGATATCRGTTTCTCTCCTCCCACATTTGCCAGTGGACAGATGTTTTCCTTTATTATTTATAAAGCAGTCAGACACCCAAAGTCTCACGTCTCCCATCACAGGCATGAATTTTGTCTGCATTCAGTGAATATATTGTTTGTGTACTTCRTGAAGCAATAGTGCTTAATGTGGATGTATAACTACTTAGCCTGCCACAGGTTGCAGGCAAATTCTGCACAGAATTTTCCATTAAAATGGAGATGTGTGTGTGTCTGTGTGTCTGTGTATATATACATATAAATATATTTTTTAATTATATATATATATATATATATAAATATATATATATAAATATATAAATATATAAATATATAAATATATAAATATATAAATATATATAAATATATATATATATATATATATATGTAGGAATTTTCACTCCTCAGAGCAAAATGCAGCATACCCACAGCTCACTGGACTAAAAAATTATGAAAGTTCCTCTTTCATATGTCATGTATTCCTAGAATGTTTGCACACATGTTAAAACGGAACATCTCCTATAGTACTCCTTATCATTGCTTTCTGGAAATTAGCTTGTAAAAAAATATGTATTTAACAACCGCAAAATTGAGAATTCAGCTTACTGAAGATTCAGACTGAATATTGAAGGCTTTTTCTTTTATATCTTTGTGTCATGATAAGCTTTTAGAACAAATATTTTGTCTTTCTATTTCCCTACTTTCATAAGCTCACTGTGCTAAATGCTGCAGTGATTTTAAACTCTAACATATTCAGTCTGTCTTAACGATTTTTTTGGTGAGTAAATTATGTACACTTCACAGCCCTTCTACCCTTTGGTCATTGAGCATCTGAAACACTGATTCTTTCTGCTTTTTACCTTCCCCTTTAGGAGGTACATGGTAATTTACCGCTTTCTACAATTTTGAAAAAAACCACAAACCTCCTGTCCAATTCTGGTTGCAGGTTACAAAAGGAAAGTGACTAAGTCTAACCATCAATAKACTCTAAATTTACTTTTAATTGTGTTTAAAAGAACAGAGTTAAAATTTAGTGGAACAAAAACCAAATTTTAAAAATTTGCTTCTAGGCATTTCTCCTTTAATAACAGGCTGAGAGAGTTGGGGCTGTTCAGCCTGGAGAAGAGGAAGCTCGGGAGAGACCTTGTTGCAGCCTTTCAGTACTTAAAGAGGACTTCAGAAAAAGCAGGGAGAAACTTTTTAGCAGAGTCTGYAGCAACGGGACGAGGGGTAATGGTTTTTAACTAAAGGAGGGTTAATTTAGATTAGATATAATGAAGTTTTTTACAACAAGGGTGGTGAAAAACTGAAACAGGTTGCCCAGAGAGGTGTTAGGTGCTCATCCCTGGAAGTTCAGGGTGAGATTGGACAAAGTTCTGAACAACTTGATTGAGTTGAAAATGTCCCTTGCAGAGGGGTTGGACTGCATGACCTCTAATGTCTGTTTCAACACAAACTTCCTGTGATTATAAATATAACACAAAATGTAAATAATAAAATATAGGTCTATTACACAGTCATCCTGCATTCTTAAAGACATATCAAGAGTTCATATTTGTAGTTCTTATAAAAGGACATTTACTCCACGGATGGGACTCAGATGACTAAAATGTAGCAGTGTGACACCAGATGTGTAAGCACAGCCCAGTGCATAGGTAATTTCTCCACTGACCACCACTGTCACAGCTTTAGCTGGACGAGTTCTGYCCTGCTGTGCTGGGAAATGATACCTCAGTGCCCAGGCGAGAGGAGCAGGCCCTGAAAGTTCAGTGTAAGACACATTTTAAAAGGTTAGTACCTGTGAAGACCAAGCCATGTGGCTGCTTGATATCAAAAGATGATAAATATGATGCACAATAAAGCATTTCAAAAAGTTTTGGGTGAACTCAAGAGACAGAGGAAGACATTTGCAGATCTGGCCCATGTGGGAGTAAGTCTCTTTTTAGGAGCTCATATATGAYATGCTAAGTTTTTTACATCTTTGAATGAAGTAAAAACTAAATTCAGATTCCAAAAAACCTTTTGAGTACCCATACTAATCTCTTGAAGAACAGGTCCAATTTTTACCTAATATTAGCATCTAATGGAATAATACACACTAGTGCTGAAAAATACTTGTAGATGAGTGCTCAAACGTTCACTTGATTTTCTTTTTGTTTTTTTTTTCTCCAGACAAATAGCTTGGTTTAATACACGTTACTTTAGAGCTCTGATAACCCTGTCTTGCAGGTTTTTTTGATTTCCCATATCTCCATGATTTAGCAGGACAGTCTGAACCCTCCCAACTCCCAGCAAACTCAGGACCTCACAGTATTGAACTCTAATTCTGCCAATTCTGCTTCTCAAAAAATGTTTAAAAACCCCAAAAGAAGAAAACCTGCAATTCCATCCAAGACAAATAAATGAGCATCCAGTTTGTTCCCTTGAATTTGTGAGAGTTGACAAGGAATGGAAAACATACCCCAAGTGATACAAAACATATGGCCAGGTGAAATGGGCCAAAAGTTCATTTAATGCCACCAGCTATTAAATGCTGCACCTCTTAACTGGCTCTGACAGCAGAAGTCTAAAGATACAGCAAAACAGACACCCATCACTGCTTATATTTTCTCTGAAGTAGTCTGTTGGTAAAAAATAAGGTTTCAGAAGATGTTAGATCAGCTTCTGAGAGYAAAGGCTTTAATATTAAGAGTGTGAGGCTTCTCTTTGCACTTGACATCACACATTAGTTTGAGCAGTGAAGCCAGATTTTTCTTTCTCACTTTGCTCCCACATAACTTATTGAACACATTAGCTTGACGGGTTTCCAGTTGGGAGATTCTTTAATATCTTCTCTTGCAATGTTGTGTAACAAGACAAAGATTATGCTTAATTCAAATTTAAATATTTAGAAACTGAAGAAAATGCATAAAATAAATCAAATCAAATAAAATCAAAATCAATTAAATCTGTATGACTAAAATGACTTACATTACCCTCTTCCATTACATCTACATTATTCTCTTGGTTATAAAAACACCCTCTTATATTTACATATCCACACAACCTGCATCAACCTGTTGTTGAGTTCATATAAAAATCAATTTTWAAAAGTGGTTTTCCTTCATTTAAGAACGTATATTTCTAAGGAAAAGTTAAATTAAAAAACAAACAAACAAACCCCACCAAAACTAAATCCCCCATGTAACATTTCAAAGACAATCCCAGATGAAATTTTATGAAGTAAAAAGCCACTTTTTTGACCTGCTGACAGRACTATGACAAGAATAGTGTATTTTACAGTTGACATACATTTAACCTCATCTTCCAGATGAGAAACTGAGTTGTTTTTAACACAAAGCATGCAAAACCAGAGGTAACAGCTGATACAATTCYTTTAAAACACAGCTAAAATATGGGGGATTTCATGGGACTTCACAACATGAAGTCAAAATTCCTATCTGTCCTGGACCACTTTTTCCATGCTCCAAGACAAACTGAGAGATTTCAAGAGACCCAGAGACAAGTCTTTAGAACTAGGTTGGGAGACTGGGAGGAAGTTCTATGGTTCAGATATCTGGGAATCTCCCAGCTCCCACGGTCCTATTTGTGGGAGAACCCCACATGCAGATCAACAGAGTTACTTTTAAGAGTTCACGCTGAAGACACAGACAGACACAGAAACAAGAACAAAGTAAGTACAGAACAYGTGATAAAGCCCAGACGTTTGAATGCCGTGCTATTTACCTAAGAAGTAAAAATATAAGTGCGGTAAAAACACTGCTTTTGAAATAAAAGTTACTTTCGTTTAGCACCGGGCACTGACAGCATCTCCCCATCGCCCGGGCTCTCCTCAGCCGTCTGAACACTGCACCGAGCTAAAGCCTCTCCAGYCAACCTCCGCTGAGGCTTCGTCCTTCACAAACTTTTTTACACTTCTTTGGGACGGGAGGGTGGCGCGGAACAGTGGAAGAAAAACCCACCTGTATCTCTCATCCACAGCAGCCCAAAGGGAGAACAGCCACCCAAATCTCCGGCAAACACGTCCCGAGCAGCGGCGGCAGCGGCAGCGGGAGCCCCGGTACCCCGGGCTGCCCGGGGACAGCCTTCTTATTCCCTCCCCGGCGGGTTGCGAGGACATCCACCTTCGGGAGGGCGGGGGAGAGTAAACAGATTGTTTTGAGTAAATTAAAGAATAGGAGGGGCGAGGCGCATCTCGTCCCGCTGCCGCCCGCGGCTCCCGGCGCGGCCCCCGCAGCTCCGCCCGCGCCGGGGCGGTGCCGGGGC